AACATGTATTATTATAAAATATAAATTTATTCAAATATTACTTAAAATATTGAATTAATTTAAAAATACAATATATTAATATAAGGAAATTAATGTGCAATATTTTTTTCAAAAATTCATGATCAGAATAATAAATATTCAAAATCAAAATAATAAATATAATATAATAAAAAAAAATTTTAATTTACCTGATGTGCATATATAGTATCATATAAAAGTGTCCAACAAATTCCAGCAATATAAAGTGGCAAGCATACAGACCAGTTACATGATCCTTGCACAGCAGACCAACCCAAAAGTGCACCCCAATTAAAAGTCATCCCAAGAATTAATTGAGGCCAATATGTTATTCTTTTCATAACAGGATATATTATTACTAAGACTATAACAAAAAACTTAATGATTTTTAATTGCTTTTTTGTTTTATATATAATAATTTAAAATAAAAGCATTTTCCAAATTAAAACAGTTTTAGCAATTAATTATTAAAATTAAGAAATACCGTTTTATATAAACTTTTTAAAAATTTTTTAATAATACCTAGTGAACTTGCTCCCAATATAATACTATAAAGATTTAATTGCAACAATATAAGCAATCCCAAAGTTAATTGGCTTCCAAGAAAAATCAATGATTGTAGAGGTGAAATTTCTCTAGTAACCAATGGTCTATCTTTTGTTCTGGCTACCTAACATTAAAATTGTTTTATAATATGTTATATTAAAATATTTAAAAATCAATATTACCATTCCATCAATATCTTGATCCCACATATCATTTATAATACATCCTGCTCCACGCATAACGAATGCCCCTATTCCAAAAAGACTTAAAAGTTGAAAATCTGGTAGAGCACCTGGTGCTGCTGCCATAGCTATACTCCAACCACAAGGCCAAAATAATAACCAAGACCCTATATATAAAAACTATTTTTAATTACTTGAATTACTAATAATTTACATTTATTTTATGATAACAAAATGAATTATTATATGTTATTTTCAAATTAAATTATAATTTAAAAATGTTTAATTATATAAAATTATTAATAAAAAAATCTATAACCATATTCATATTATAATTTATATTAACTCTTATCTTACCTATTGGTTTATCTAGTCTTATAAGTCTTAAGTATGGTTGTATTAAAGATGGAGAATTATCTACTAATTTTTTAGAAAATGTAGTTTTTTGATTTAATTGAATATTTGCAATTTTAGCAAATTCTGTTATTTTATTCTTTTATTCGATTTATTTAACTTTAATGTCTCTTGCGTCTCTATTTTACCATTTTCATAATTATATTTGTTGTAGATGTAAGATATAGTGTGAATTGTATCATTAGAAGAACACAAATGAATAACAGATTTTTTTTTATTAAATCGCATATAAAATCTTAAACATTTATCATATTTAAATAATTGTTGATACCACCGCATCATTATCATCATTATCAATTTCTTATTATTTATAAATAATAATGATCTTTTATATAACCTCAATTTCCTTTAATTCAAGTTATATTATGATAAATATGCATTATTAAAACTAGCATTCGTACATATAAAATAATAATATTATTATTTACAAACTCTACGTCATCATAACAAACCTTTGACATTTTTTTACATTATGTAAGGAATTCCTTAAACCATGCTAAAAATTAATTTGTCATGCTTTAGTGCAGAATTACTTATATATTTGTAATCATTATATAACAGCGTATATTGCGCATGCGTACTTACTAATAATATAATAATTCGATATAATAATTCGACGCAATAGTTAATAGAAGAAATAAGTAATAAAAAACGTTTTAATTGTTTTAATTGAAAGATAAAAGAGGATTTAAGCCAAATTTAATCAGATTTTACTTGAACATATTGATTTGAATAATAGTAAGTAGTATAACATATATAATATATAAATATAATATAAAATAATATAAAAAATATATTACATTATATAAATGAATATATATTAAAATAAGATTATTATAAAAATTGATTATTTATTTTATTCTATAAAATATTTTATAAAGTTTTTATTTTATAAAATTATTGTATATGAAATTTCGTATTTCGAACAATGTGCATATTAAATATTTAAATTATCAAAATGTATAGAATATAAATAACTATAAAAAAATATATCAATATATCAATTAAGTTTTTAAATATATTTATGATTTTAAAATTATTATATTATAATATAATAATGGCTATGTAAATAATTATAATAGCTAAAAATTTAATTCTAATAAAATTGTATATAATTTTGAAAAGCCCGCCTTAATGTTTTGAAGTTGTATTCAAAATGTATATAAGTAAGTACTTCCGAGAACTTAAGTATTTAAGTATAACTGATTATCTGTATTTTATGTTCAAGGTATTTTCAAGTAAACTTCAACTTTTTACAATGTCTGAAATTCAGAAATTCGAAGTTTTATTTATTTTGGGAGGTCCTGGTGCAGGTAAGGGTACACTGTGCAGGAACATTAATGAAAAATATGGTTATGTACATTTATCAGCTGGTGATCTATTAAGAGAGGAGCGTATGAATTCCAATTCGAAATATGGAGAACTCATTGAAAATTATATTAAAGATGGAAAAATTGTACCTGTTGCAATTACTTGTAGTCTTCTGGATCGTGCGATGCAGATGACTGATAGTCCGCATAAAAGATTTCTGATTGATGGTTTTCCACGAAATCAAGATAATATTGATGGTTGGAATGAGGTATAAAATTAACAATAAATTTATTAATATTATATACATCGTTAAAATAATTGAAAATTATATTCTTAAAAGATAAATTGATATAATATTATTTTTTTTATATATACATTTTTAACATGTTATTTTATTAATAGGCAATGTCCAATAAATGTGTAATAAAAGGAGTATTGTTCTGTCAATGTAGTAAAGAAGTATGTACTCAGCGATGCTTAAATCGTGGTGCAGCAGGTAGTGGAAGATCTGATGATAATGAGGAAGTTTTAGTCAAAAGACATGAAACTTACATCTCTAATACGTTACCTATAATTGAATATTTTGAGAAAGAAGGCTTGGTATATAAAGTAAATAGTATGCAATTACCAGAGAAAGTATTTGAAGAAGCTAAAGAAATTTTATCTAAAATAGGTTGGTGATGAATTAATAAAAAAATTTAATGATCTTAGTGAGATCAAATTATGTCCTATTTGCATTTAATTATTTTATTACGGAAAAAAATATATATATTTTGTAAAAATATTTTATTCAGACTAGTATAATGTATTATATTTGTATTATATTGCATTTAGGAGATATTAAATTATTCCAACTTTAATGTATTGTCTCAATATTTTTTGTTTTGTTAATGTAGTTAATGTAATTGATTTGTAAAGTTCATTATTTATAACCTTTAAGATTATAATAATATTTTGTATAAAAATTGCAAATATTTTGCTATGATTTTTAATATCTATATAGAATCAAAATTTTCTGGATAAAATTATTCCCAAATATGTTTATGAAATGTTTGTTTTGTTTAGAGAAAATAATGCAGGAAAATTAGCAACATGATCAGAGATAAATATACATATTATGCTTATATGAATATGTATTATATGTAAAATATATTTTTGATGCAATATTAATTTGCTTTTTTATTATATCCTTTTTATAAACTTGATTTTTTAATGACATATTTATAAATTCTTAAAATACAATAATTGAAAATATCAGTTTTATATTACGCAGTATTTTTTAAAAATTTATTTTAGATATTTTAAACACCTTTATTTTCTATATTTTATTAAAATATTAGTCAATTGACATTATTTTTTCTAAGTACAATATTTGTTTGTTTATTTTTCAATAAATTCTTGCTATTAATTCTTTTTGTTATATTTGATAAACTTTTAGAAAAAAGCAATATCTCTTATCATTATCATTGTCATCAAAATCAATATGATCTATCTTTTTATCATTATATTTTTTTTTTCAAAACTAGATTGATATGTGATCAAATAATGCAATAATTCTTTTTAAAATTTAATTCTTCACTTTCTTTATAAAAAAAAATATATATATATATATAAAAGTTTAGATAAAAATTTAATAAAATGTTAAAAGAAAAAAAAATAAAAAAGTTTATTGAAAGATAAAAAGATAAAAAAGTACAAATTTACATTTTACGATATAATTATTTACATGTTATTTAACAATATCATATGCTAATAATATATCTATACTAGAAATGTAAACAAAATTAATTCACAGTGACGTGATTCTTTCCGAGGTCGTGTATAGTTACGTATGAATCATTGAACTTTGAAGATATACATATATGAATGTTGTCTAGCATAGTGTACAAAGATTCTTAAGTAATATTTTTGATTACTCATATCTATAATTCCATCTTCATATAAATATAATATATACGATATAAATATATATAAAAAATATATCTTTTTTATAAGACTATATTAACATTGAAATAAAAAAAAAATCATAATCAAATTTATAAACTACAAGACAAAAGATAAAATGGAAAAAATAAAGTTTTACATTGAAAGAGCATTGAATTCTTTTCTTATAAACTGGCCCCTGCTCTCGTATTAACGTGCCTTCACCAATGAAAGATCGACCCGTTTTCAACTTTCTCATCGAGATAACCGAAATATGTATCGTTAATAAGGTATTACAACTACCACGAAACTCTGACGTGTGAAAATAATTCTGGGATTGAAAATTCACTTAAAAACTTTTTTTTTATATGATTTTTAAATATTTTTTTTAAATATATATTTCTTTTTACTTATTTATGTTTTCAATTTTTACTTCTTTTTTTCTATATTGTGCAGAATGTTTAATTATTTGTATTTATATACACAGATACTAAGGATATATAATAAGATGATTTCTTTGCTAAAGATCTTAAAAGTGATAACCGCAATCTGTTCGATAACATTAGTAATATCAAAGATATTAAACATCGTTTATAGATTTTATAATGAAAATTAAAAATATTTTTGAGAAAAATTTATCATTACGTCATAATTTAAAAATTAAGAATTAAGAAAGAATTAAGAATTACTTTAAGAATTAGAATTCAAAATTTAAAAATTTTAAAGTGTAATGAAGATTCGAATCTTATTTGCATTATCTTGTATAAACAAATTATTGTATGGATAATCATCGTGATTAATACAAAGTTTATTGGATTGAATCTAGATATCGTTTCATCCATAGAGATTCGATTGTTATTATTTATTTATATTGATATAATAACGAATCGAAAGAAAATTGGATTTCTAATTTTCTCGAAATACCAAACTTTTATTGTTATATAAATTATAAATTTTGAAAATCTTTTAAATTAATTAAGAGAAATTTCATTATAATATAAACAGATTACAATTAAAATTTGAATTAATTTTACAAAGAAAGATTAAACCAATTGATGACGGACGAATTGAATGCAATTTCTACCCTAACCTACATTCTTCATTTTTGATAATTTTTATGAAACAAACAGTAGAGTTCATATAGACAACTTTCTTAAATTCCTCGAAGTCACTAACTTTCTATGTAACGAAGGTTAATACCCGTAAGAAGTTTCAAAGTCGTTCTAAATTTTGTCAGATAAAATGAAATAAATCTGAAATCGTCCAATTATATAAAATCATACTGATTACTGATATTAAGGAGCTATGTCAATCATAGATTTCAATTCACTTATGTTTTCTTTATAATAAAATTAAATTTTAGAATATTATCTTCAGTAATTTATGCAAAAAAAAAAAAAAAAGAAAAAAAGAATTTACCTAACCATTCTAATTTCTTAGATATTGAGCATTATTTTTTAGATATAGATTGAGCATTAATTTTATTTTGTTTTTGCTTTGACTGTGTTGCTCTCTCTCATTTTTCAATTAAAACATCAACGCATTGACTTTTTTTTCCTAGCAACAATATTCTTTGTACATATGATTATCGGTCAATAAACTTATCGTATATTTTTCCTGATAGTTTCCTCTAATTGTATACGACAATTACGTGCTAAATACGTGGCCGTTTCACAGGTTTATATAACATCAATTTTCTTTCGTTTTATTCTTCTTAGTTGTTTTCGATTGCCAACTTTTCTGCTATTAATGAAATGAATTATTGAAATTTGTATAGTTTCTCGAATAATATTTTTTTACATTAATTAAATAATTTTTTGCTAGTATAGTTTTTTAATTTCAAATTTAATTTACCACATAAATGATTAAAAGTATATTAAATTTTTTAATTTTTTTCTTTTTTAAAAATTCTAGAAAGTTTTGAAGTATCTTTGAAAATTAAAATGATGTGATATTTATTAATTTTATTTTATTAATTATAGGGAATGAAATTCCTTAAAATCTTAGCATTTTTCAAATTTTGAAATACAGTTTTTTGTGAGAACATTTTTTTCAATTAGATAATAAAGTATTAAAATTTACACATTTCATATATTTAATTCCTATATTTATTTAAATCTTGTTCTATTTTTATGAAAGTTATATTTAAAAAAAAAACAAATTTATTATTCGATAAGTTGTAGTGTTAAATAATATAATTATATTAATTACAGGAATTCGAAATGATTTAGGGAACATATAGTTAATCAATTGATTATCAGAAAATAGTAAAATTATCCAAATTAAATTAAATTCCACGCGTTTATGTATGTAAAATATATATTAAACGAAATTGTTTTTTGAATTGCTTCGCTATTTTTTTATTCATTTTAAGAAAAAGTAATAATATTCAGTAATAAAGAAACGATATATATTACCGGTATATATAAAGATATGATTTTGCTCTTGTTTTTGGTTATAACTATTTTGTGATTCCATTCATTCTTAACTGAAACATTATAATCAATTTTACTGAACCGTACATTATTAATTTTTAAATCTTTATAATTAAACATTACATTTACAATTTTAATAATTAAATCTATAATATGTATAATATGTATAAATATACAAAAACATAATCAGAAATTAATCTTAATAAAATCTTATAGTTCTAAGAAATAATTGTTTCTATTATTTTTTTAGATATATTATAAAACAGAAAATTAAAAATTAATCAAAACAATACATATTTATTATTTTTTATTTACGTCAAAATATTAATTGCTAAATGCTTTAGTATGTATTGCTTTGCAAACAATTCCGAATCTTCGAATTCCAATCTTTGAATAATAATTAATTGGATCAGAAATAAAATAGAGAAAAAACAAATATATTTTAAATATTTGACTGTCCGATATTTCCTCACTTTTCCTTATTATAATATAAACACTTTTAACACTTTTCTAATTTAAAGGACTTTTCCCAATAACAACTATTATAAATTAATAAATACATATATAAAATACATTTCATTATTAATAATTTGTATTGTGTAAAAATGGACGAGGAATATTCATATTGTTAATTTGAATATTATTGTTGAACTGAATAAACAAACAATTGAAACATAATAAATAAAAGTTGATTCATGCAGGGAAAAAATCTTGTCCATCCAGGGATTTACAACCGAAGATATCTTTCTATACAACTCTCTTCCATTCGATCCTTTTGTTCCTGTACATATATATATATATATATATATTTAACGCGATCCTATTATTTTTTTGCTCTTTTTTCCCTCATCCTTATCTATTTCATCGTATGCCCCTTGAAAAAGAAATACTATATTACTCGCACGCGTAATCCTTTGGTCGCATCGATAAGAGGTATACCCATCGTCAAGTCGAATGCTCTTATCCCCCTCATCATGCCTGCGGTTCGAGCAATATATAAATGCACCAGCGATTGACAGAACGTACAGTTCACGTTTTGACGTCTCTTACGCTCCTTTTACGCGTGCATACTTAGGGCCACTAGTGTACACGTGACTACGTACACCACGTGCTTTAGTCGAAAAGACACATATGTCAAATTACACTAAATAATCTGACATTATGGAATCTTGTGATATTCTATTTTATAGATTTCCAATTTTTAATCGTAAATCTGATTGTTTCATTTCGTTTGGTTTTCTGTTTCTTTTATTAATATCGGTTGGATTCACTGAATTAACAGTTGATAAACCTGAAAGAATATTACTGGATTTTCTGTCAAAACCCTTTGCACCCCTCGATGGAGCGTCAGAAGAGTGCCTCA